CCGACTCCTCGGCTCCTCGATTCTACGTCGGAGGTCCTAGAGAGGACGTCGACGACTACGTTAGCCATGATGATCTCGTTGAGTTCGGAGGAAACGAGCTTGCGATCGTGTCGCCGCATGGAGTTGATTGCAACGTTGGCGCTTCGAGTTTCAGAAGAGCAGTTGAAAACCTCTCTCCCGGATCACGGTGGCGCACTCGAATTCCCTCCACTCGACGGAATCAGAGCAACAGCGAATAATAATTTGTTTCCGTCGAGTCGGCGTCGTCCTCTCTAATCTACCGGTAGAAACTCCTCCCGGTGAGTCGACGGGACCAGCTTCTCCATCGGCGAGATCTGGGCCAAGAGTGAAATAAATTCGTCTCTCCTGCCCTGGGCCTACGCGCGGTAACGGCCGTCATTTAGATCTGGAGGGAATCCGAGGGGAGTTTTCCATCCTCACCGACAACCCTCATTTGGATTCTGTGCTTATTAACCAGTCGAGGCATGAGCTATTCCTCGAGGAACGCGATAATAAATTTTCGAGCGAGATCCGCGCATACAACAACTACCGCCGAACCAACGACACCGTCGGTGCCGACGGGTGCGACATAGACGGTGACGACGACTGTAAAAGCAAAGAGTGCCGAACTCAGAAACAAAACGCACACTAATGAACGGTATCACCAACAAAGCCAGCCAGCCTGCTCGCGGTTACCCTGTCCGCTAGCTCGCCTGCCTGCTTGCCTTCCTGCCATCCGGGCGTCCTGACTGCTATCCGGACTGACTGGAATAGGGTTTGAAAAGGAAGGGTAGATAACGCGACAGCGTTCCCCGACAAACCTAATGGCGGGCAAGAAGAATTGCAAGAATGACTCTGTCTTCAGTCGTCGTCGTCGGCGACGACAGCGGCTGCAAGCCTTTGTTAAATTGAAATCGCCCTCGAATCAGCCGACAATGAAGGGATGCAGTGGCGAAAGATCGAGAAAGACATCGAGAGATCATTAACGATGTATGTGGTCCTTATCTTCTGATCCCGTCGAACTCGCGATCCTCATCGTGGCCATCTCGGGTCGTCGTCGACGCCAACGACGTTTTTCCCCGTCGTCATTCTCGCGACCTCGTTCTGCGGGCGTTCTGTTGTTATTGATAGGGGGAGCGGGGACGTTCGCAAGGTTCGATTCCGTCCGATTTCGACCGAAGCGTTCACGACCGAGCCGATGGGGTGGAAGAATCAAAAAGCGTTCGATTTCGCACACTCAGGAAGAACAACGGATTGTGCTGCGTTCGAGAAATTCTTTCGGTGTACAGCAACTTAAATGGCGCGCGGTACAACCAGAGAATGGGTCCGCTGGGGGGAGAAGATCCGAAACACCAGCGGAAAAAGGGGTGTCGTGCGATTGAAACCGAAGACAGCTAAGATCTAAAAGCCCCGAGTCCGCAGACATCCGAGCGCTCCGCGAAACGCGCTGGGAGTACAAGCGAGTTCTAAAACTGCGGCATGGGGCTCCGCAGTGTGATCATGGGGAATCTTTTTTAGACGAGGCAGTCTCCCGGGACTTCTCCCTCCGAGCTTCGAAAAATACATTAAGGGTAAGAAAGGAGTATCCCTTGATGGGCATCTGCATGTACTGCCGGACTTCCTCAGCTCCGTGATGACGACGAAATCGAGTTGAAAGCGGTGACCGTCCCCGGAGGTAGTTCACGAAAATTTCAGAGTATCAACGGAAACACGCTCCGGACCGGCACATGGAGATGGAACGATGAACATTTCGTGATTTTTCCCCATTCGATCGACCACGGGACCTAGCCCCTGTTCATTCTTTCAACGCATAGTATCTAGTCAGCGAGACGATGAAAAAAAAACGTTCCGTTTGACAGTGTTAACTATTTGGGAGCCCCCGAAAGTAAACAGTAGCGTTGTTCTTACCGAGGGGCCAGTGAGCGACCAGAAACGAAGCGACGACGACGATCAACGAGCACGACTGCATATTGTCTGTGCTCTCCTTGCGATCCCGGTCAATTTTCTGCGGCGACAACGGATAGCCAGGCTCGACGACGATCCGTGAGTGTCCCGCTATTTAATATTCCATCGCAACACAATAGCTTCGGGATCCCGGGGCATTTCACACACACACACACTTCACCGCTCTGCCGTCAATCCGTCGGTGTGTCTTCTGTTCGATTTTCAGGAAGAAAAGAAAACAACAGAATTCCTCTTGGGCCACTGAATCACTCTATGAACACTCCAGATCTAGACACTCTCCGTGCTGCTGTCTTTCCGTCACTCACTGGACAGTGAACACTGAGCGCCGCAGAGCGCAACCAGCGGCGAATAAAGACGACCACGAATAACACACCCGCTCTCACACAACGGTAGGAGTAGGACGGGAGAGTGAAGATGATGATGATGCTGATCTTTGCCGGCGATGCGAGACCGATCGGGCCGTCCCTTCGCTCAGGTTTGGTTGTGAAATCACGGTAAAGCGGAATTCGGTATAGCATTCGGTACACCGAATCTCACCCCGATCCCGCTGAATACTATCCGTGAACATCTTCACGGATAGGAAGAATCCGTGACTCGATCATATCACGTCTCGTCGGTGGGAATTAAGTACTCCGAGAGGGAAAACGCGTTCATCGAAATGCCGCAGGATGCTGAATCCGCCTTGCGAGCGCTGATATTTCCCACGAGTTTGAGATCTTCGAATAGCGGTCATGCTGCGGAACGGCATAGGAATTCTACAAGGGCTCATATGAGCCCCTCGCACGAGTCGTTTGAGATCGAAGCACCGGCTGCGACATATCCATGAGAGTGGTCGTAGCGGCGGAGACCATCGTATGTATCGAGTTCCCGCGTGATCAGCGGACAACTCGGTGCTCCGTTCCAGCAGAGTTACATGGTTCTTTCTTGCGATCGGAGCACCATTCCCGTTGCACACTTATTAGAGGAGAAAAAATCTGCTCGCTGGCCTCGACACCTCAAGCAAAGATCATCGACGTCATTGTCGTCATCACCAATCGCTCTGTACGGCTGATGATCGTGTTTTTTTCATGATATTCCATCCAAATTCCACATGCGACTCCATGCGCGAGTTCGTCTTTTTGCCGAGCCGCGCCGACGACCCCAGGGAATCATGCCGCGCGGACACACATGTCGAATTTCCTTCTCAGTTTGAGCCGCGAAGGATTCGTCACTCGTCGTTTCGAGAAAGGAGCACAAAGCACCGCGGAACGATATCTGCGTTTTGTTCGGCTAATGCCATGGAACGTCGGCGGACGAGAGCGCTCAAGGACTCTTTGAATTCGCGGGGCGCCGAGGGTCTGATGGCCCTAAATTCATATTTTCCGATCGCTTGAAACCTCGTTTTTGCCTTCCCCGGAATCATGGGGGATTTTGAGAGTGTTCGGGGATTTTTGGTGTACTCAAATCACCGGGAAAAACCAGTTGGAAGTTATAGAAATCGGACATGACGATAGCCTCGATGACGTACTCGGTTGTTCTGAGTTTTAGTGAGGTGACCGTCCCTGGATTTGTGGCATATTGCTAGGAGAGCTCCTCGCGGAAATCCGCTGAAATGGCAAAAAACTCAAGTGCCCCGTTGTGTTCTGAGGTCGAGACCTCATTTTCGCTCGGAGTTTGGACCGATTTGCGGCCGCGATTCGTGGGATGATGTGGCTGTGATATTTCAAAATGGCCCGATCCTTATTCGACAGAGAGATCTCAGAGTTAGCCTCCGTCCGCTGCGGAGTGAAACACGTTGATCGCCGGATTCCGGGGAAAGGTCCGTCTTCCGAACCGAACCCCCGACCCGGACACTCGCGGCCAGTGCCTGGGGCCGGGAAATCGAGCCAAGGCTCTGATCGAAAGGAGGTCGTCGAGATCTTGTTCGGCCCTCGGAGTGTGAAGCCGACAGCTGGCCCTGCACGCTAGTGATGTATTTCTATTGTGATTCAGTTGGTGGTCTGCTTTCGTCCCGTGCAGTTGTTTAGTTGTGGACTCTTTCGGACGAACGGACGGAAAACCGTGGTTTCTGTGAATGCTTCCTCATCTGTGGCAGGGCGACCTGTAAACGCCCCAGAATGGACCTTTTGTCCGCCGCTCTGGACGAATCGGGGATCGATCTCCAGCCCGTGGTAAACGTACAACCGATACAGCGCGCTGCTACGGCTGCTGCAGTTGCCTCTACTACTACCGCTGCTAGTGGTGGTGGTGGTCGTAATAATGCCGCTCCGAGAGCCACCATGACTGCCGTTGTGCAGAATCGTCCGACCGTAGTGAAGACAGTCACCACCAACAACAATGTAGTACCAGGACAGCCGGTCAAGATTCTGCTGAGTCGACCTCAGACGGTCGTTCGGCAGCAGGTGGTAGCACCTGGCTCCCAGATCGTTCGAATTCAGAGGGCTCTCGCCCCCGGAACCGGTAGGCAGCCAACCTTAATCAAAGTGAGAGCCCCACTCGTGTCGCAAGGGGTGGCAGCTTCTCCGCGAGGGCAGGCCGTTCATGTCGTCAGACTTCCCACAAAACAAGTTTCGATGGCAAGACCGGGTGTTTCGTCACCCCAAATTCGACTCGTGCAAAACGGTTCTCCAATGCTGATTCGAACCACTCAGGCCGCTCCATCCACGCCGGGTGGCAGTGGCGGTACACCACACGTTGTCCGAGTCGGTGTGGGTGGTGGACAACCGAAAGTTATCACGAGAGTGTTGACGTCCAGAGGTCCGGCCATGATTCAGTCTCCACGCGTGGTCAGAGCGCCTGCGGTGGCGGCGGGAACGTCTTCGACGACAGCGGTATCTGCAGCTGTTGGATCCGGAGTGATGTCAACACGGATTATACAGGCGCCTGCTCGAGTTTTGCAATCAGCGAACGGACATACAATTATCCAGCGAGTGGTCACCACGACGGCACAAGGTACGCCGACACTGAGAGGAGTTTCCACATCGTCGATTCGTCCCAACACTCCAGTTACCCAGTTCATCCAGAAAGTTGCGGCACCTGCCGGCGCGGGGACGACGACGACGACAGTAGTCCGGAAGCTCACGAACGGTATTCCGACAACGAAAACCACGACCACCGCCGTCATGAGCAGGAACGTGCCAAACCCTCGATCTCTCCTCGTGGCTCCGAGATCGACGCTGGTTTCCAGCCCCGCGCCGAATCAGTCGCGGCTTGCCATCGTGCCCGGACACCAAACTCTGAAGAACGGCGAAGCGAAGCAACCGAGTCTCATCCGGCCGCAGCTCGTCGACGACGGGGTCGTTGACGAAGAGGAAGAAATGGGGGTCGCTGAAACTTACTCGAATTACGTCCCGGCCAAGCTACGGATCGGACTGAAGCACCCCGACCCCGTGGTCGAAACGGCCTCGCTCTCTTCAGTACCCCCACCCGATGTACATTACCGCCTGAGCATTCCCGAAGAGATCATCGATACCGGTGCGCTATCAGCTCTACAACTGGAATCGATAACTTACGCATGTCAGCAACACGATGTGATTCTTCCAAACGGACAACGAGCCGGCTACCTGATAGGCGACGGCCCCGGTATCGGAAAGGGTCGGACCGTGGCCGGGATAATTTTCGAAAACTATTTACTCGGTAGAAAGAGAGCTTTATGGTTTTCGGTGTCGAACGACTTGCGTTTCGACGCCGAACGAGATCTGAGGGACATCGGGGCTTCGAAGCTCGAGGTGTGTCCGCTAAATAAATTCAAGTACCATAAGATCACGAGCAAGAAGAACGGCTCTTGCAAGAGAGGCGTCATATTCGCCACGTATTCATCGTTAATCGGGGAGAGCTCATCTAGCTCATCCAAGTACCGAACACGGTTGAAACAGCTGTTGCACTGGTGTGGTGATGATTTTGACGGTGTTATTGTATTTGATGAGTGTCACAAAGCCAAAAATCTCTATCCTGCCGGTTCTTCGAAACCCACAAAGACCGGCCAGACGGTGCTGGAGCTACAGAATCGACTGCCTAAGGCGAGAGTCGTTTACGCTTCGGCCACCGGCGCGTCCGAGCCCAAAAACATGGCCTACATGACCCGGCTGGGCATTTGGGGCGAAGGCACGCAGTTCAAAGAGTTCAATGATTTTCTCAACGCTGTGGAAAAACGCGGTGTCGGAAGCATGGAACTGGTCGCCATGGATATGAAACTCCGCGGAATGTACATCGCTCGACAACTATCGTTCTCCGGTGTCACGTTCAGAATCGAGGAGGTCGCACTCCAAGATCATTTCGTTCAAACATATAACTTGTCTGTGAAATTGTGGGTCGAGGCACGGAGGATGTTCTCCGAAGCCGCGCAGCTGATGGACGCCGACACCCGGGTGAAGAAAACCATGTGGGGGCAGTTCTGGGGCGCCCATCAGCGCTTCTTCAAATATTTGTGCATCGCGGCCAAGGTATCATACGTGGTGAAAGTGGCCAAGGAAGCCATCAAGGACGGCAAGTGCGTCGTAATCGGTCTCCAATCGACTGGCGAGAGTCGGACCCTCGAGCAACTCGAAGAACAGGGCGGCGAACTGACGGATTTCGTCTCGACAGCCAAAGGGGTCTTCCAGAGCCTTGTGGAGAAGCACTTCCCGGCGCCGAACCGGAAGAAAACACTCGCGCTCCTGGGTCTGGGCGGCTCGTTCCTCGACGAGCGGGATTTCATGCCGAAAAAGGAAGAATTCCCCATGAAGACCGAAACGGAGCCCGAAGAGAGTTCGGAGCACGACTCGAGCTCCGAAGTGAGTTCGGGAGACGCGTCTGACGATTCCGACGAGGACGATCTCAGCGGCGACGACTTCAACCCTTTCGGTGGAGACAACGGCGACGAGGACGATCCCTGGGCGAATCGGAGCCTGAAACGGAAACGGAAGAACAAGGATGCGGACAAGAATCCTAAGCGTGAGAAGAAAGAGAGAAAAGTCAAGAGCGAGAAGGAAGAGCCCAAACCGTCCGTCCCAAAAAAGAGCGGTCACCTTCCCCCTTCTCGGAGATGACGCAGCCCCTGTACTTCAGCAAAGACTCTGGTGATAAAGCAGCTGCCATGAAGCTGCAGCTTTTGAACATGCTCGAAAACATCGGTGAATACCTCCCCATCAACACGCTGGATCAGCTGATCGACGAACTCGGCGGGCCGACGTTCGTCGCCGAGATGACCGGACGCAAGGGCCGACTGATCAACGGGAGCGCCGGGGTTTCGTACGAGTCCCGGACGGAGAGTGACGTCCCGCTGGAAATTCTCAACGTCACCGAAAAACAGCGTTTCATGGACGGGGAGAAGAACATCGCCATAATTTCCGAAGCCGCGTCGTCTGGAATATCGCTCCAGGCCGATCGACGCGCCGAAAACCGCAAGCGGAGGTTGCACATAACGCTCGAGCTGCCGTGGAGCGCCGATCGGGCCGTGCAGCAATTCGGTAGAACCCACAGATCGAACCAGGTCTCAGCTCCCGAGTACCTTTTTCTCATTAGCGATTTGGCGGGAGAACGCCGATTCGCTTCGATCGTCGCCAAGCGCATCGAGAGCATGGGAGCTTTAACGCACGGCGATCGTCGGGCGGGCGAATCGCGAGATCTGTCCGTCTTCAATATCGACAACAATTACGGTCGGATCGCCCTCGAGCAAACGATGAAGGCTATCATGGGTCACGAGAGACCCATGGTCAAACCTCCCGCGGATTACGACGGGGATTTCTTCCAAGATTGCAAGGAGGGTCTTCTCGGTGTGGGTCTCGTAGTGAAGGACGACCACTCGCAAGCGATGAGTCTCGACAAGGATTATAATAATATTTCGAAGTTCCTCAACCGATTGCTCGGTCTAAAAGTCATGCTGCAAAACGCACTGTTCAAGTACTTTATGGACACGATGGAGGCCGTGGTCTCTACGGCGAAGAAAACCGGTCGATTCGATATGGGCATTCTCGACTTGGGCGCAAACGCCGACAACGTCAAACTAGACTCGACTGAAGAGTTCGTCCGGGAATCCCCCACCGGATCGACCGTTACCGAGCTCCACACGGTTCGAATCGAGCGGGGAATGAGCTGGTTGGAAGCAATCGACAAATACAAGGAACTGTGCGAGAACGATGAGGGTTTCTACTCGTTGAATCAAATGACGAAGAACGGCAAGAAAACCGCTATTCTCGCGGTCTACGCCGGTAAAACGAAGAAAGGCAAACAGAAGGAGAAAACCTTCCGAATCTTCCGACCGCATACGGGCCTACAGATGAAACAGGAGAATCTTGCCGATCTCAGGAGCAAGTACACGTTCCTCACGCCCGATGACGCCCAAGATCTGTGGCAAGCCCAATATGAAAGCTCGGAGAAATCATGTTCGCACATCTTCGGCAACGGCTTCTGTAACAAACGAAACTCCGGACATCCTTGCGATGTTGGACTCCGATCTCGGACGTACCACGTCCTCGCCGGCTCCGTTTTCACGGTATGGTCTAAAATCGAAACGGCACTGTCGACCAACAATATGAACTCGTCGAAGCTGCAGGTCGTACGACTCAAAACCGAAGACGATCTTCGCATTGTGGGTACGATCGTGCCTCCTATCTGTGTGCCCACCCTCCGCACGATTCTGGCTCAAGACGCCAAAAAAACTAGCATAAAAAAATTCAATGAAGACGACGAAGTCCAAGATGACTGAATTGGAAGAGACTCTCTTTCTCTCCTACGCCCCCCCCCCACTTCGTCTCCCCAGACAATTCGGATTCCATCCTACTTTAAACTAAATTCACCGCTCAGAATTCTCGCTCCGCTCGCACCTCGTCCAAGGACCGAAAACTTTCCCTCCGAAAATCCGAGATTTCTCACAACGCCTGATTACTCGATCCGTTCCTTCCGTCTCGCAATTCATGCCTCTCGCGTCTTTGTCCTCACCCCAAGTGTTCCCTAGAATCGGCTCTGGATTGAGTGCATCGTATGAGTCACCATATTCCCTTCGACCTTCCCTTATCCCGCGACCGACCCAGGAGTTCCCAAAACCGTCCTGACCGTCGTAGATAGCGATGTTGAGGGCACCTCCTCATTCGGTCCAAAGCTCAAACTCGATCCCAAATTCACCGCATCGATTTCCAAAAGGCTGATTGTTTTCGACGGTGGGTTGTTTGTTTTTCACGCGCAGCCGAAGAAACTCCGATATCTAGTGCTGCCCTGTCAGTCTCTAAGTTCGGGGTTCTGAAATCGATTTGAAGTCAGGTCAGCTGTGCAGATGGCCTTTCGAAAGTGTGGAGTCTTGGAACGATCTCGGGGACAGCCCCGTAGTCGCGTCGGAGGGAAGGATATCTAAATTGACGAATAGGTTCGGTATCCGAGTAAAAGCGATTGATCGCACGGCAATTCGTGCGGAGAGAATAGGGGGGACGAAGCTGCGCAGAGAGAAAAGAGCATGCATAAAGCAGAGTCGGTCGCACGGTACGGCGTCTGATCATCTGGCGGAGGCCGGTTCCCGCGCGTGAGTGGCACGATTGCCTCGCCACGTTGTTGAAGGCCGTTCGGAATAGGCCCAAATCAAGTGAGACTTGTTATATACATACAATGATATGCTCCACCCGGCAATTGTTAGATACCGATGATATTTTGCGTGAAGACATCCAAGCTGTTAGGTAGTCGTGAACTGGAACCAAATCTTCATGCGTGGCCATCCAGTGCCTGAGGGGATGAAGAAAAAAAACGAGAGAAATATTTATGTATATTCAGCTAGTTACATGAATACATCGCGTGTAAGTCGATGAAACAGAAAAATGCCGAGGGTAGGGCGATCGTTATAAGCGGGGTCGACAAAGTGTCAATGTAGTTCCAGTTGGAAACGTTGTACATACGATCGATGATGACCAGCTGAAGTTTGAGATCGATTGGAAAAGTTGTATTAAAATAAAATCATCTGCAAACAACGAATAAATGTTGGAAAATGAGCCCGAGTTGAACCTTGACACCGCTTCTTTTCTCCTAGTTTTCCTTCCCATTTCGTTTCCCATTTTTTGCACTGTTGTTCCCCGGCATGCGATATGTTCTCGGAGGGGGAATCCATCATTGGATACAGAACTGCGAACGAACAGAAATTTCCGCTTGAGAAGTGGGAGAAACTTATATCTTGCTTACAAAGATTCAAGCTCTCTCCACAGATCTTATGACAGTCGCTCGGAGTCGAGATGATTCGATCGTCTCTCAAACAATTCGGCGACGAAAAGTGAACACACGAAATCTCAGCTGCTCAGGATTCATTCTTTCGGGTGTCCCGTTTCTCAGCGAAAGTCTCGAAAATATACCTGAAGGTACTCATCTCGAGAAGTCGGTGCTCGATCCGGGTACCCCGGGAAAAATGATATTCATGGAGAGCCGAGCTCCTTCATAGTCGGAAATGCCGTGGCTCACACCGGTAGGCGAGGAGCTAACCTATCTGGAGTCATTCGTAGTCCGACGAGCATTACGGTTTCCGTCGCTTGGTTTCTCAATGACAAGCTTGATGTCGCTTCGTCGCGATTTATTCAAATTACTTTCGTTCAAGCTCCGTCGCTTCTGGCATGCGTATCGGTGAGACTCTCCTTGGTAAAGCAATTGCGCTTGTGACTCATATATATGCTGCAGACATCTGAGACGGCAGCGATATGCGTTATCATGAATTTTTAGCCGAGCGTCAGTCCTCATGCAAGAGCTCCGAGAAATGTTTCGATTCGAGTTCTCCGCTGTCCGAGTTGCCGACTGCCTCGAAGCTCCTGAACAAGGAGCGGAGCGATTTCGCTTCTGGATCGATAGAGGAGCTTCAAATTCTGTCTGGCAGTCACCCGGAAGCGATGACACATGCATTCCCTATAACATCATCGATCCGACTTGCGACTCGGAAGAGCGACAAAGCTCCAGACGGAAATGCTCCCCATGCTTCCTCCGATACGATGAGTTCCTCCTGCATCTGATGTGATTCTCGCTCCTCAGCTCATGTTTAATGGCCGATCCCCCATCCCCGCATCCCGACGGCCTTCCGGAGGAAGAGTCCCCTCTCTTTCAGTATAGAGCATCCATCTCGACGGCAGACGCGTTGTTGAATGATGGCAGGTACGAGCCAGTGGGATTCGAGATGCGAGGACCGTGAGCAAGTTGGCACCCCATAAGATCTTCTCAGATCTTGAGCACGGATGGTACGTTCCAGACGACTCGGCCGTCGAGAGGAATTCGAGCATCGCGGTACGGCTAGGCGCTCTTCCTCAGGGCTAGGAACGTCCTCCGACGATCCTCGGAATTTTATACCGGGACTCGTCTCGGCTGAGGAATGCCGCTCTCCCTGAGGCATGACATAGCTCGCGAGGTCCTGTCCATTGCCTCCAACTGACCGCGGGCCGTGGAGTCGACTCTGCATCCCTCGATTGGCGGAATCGATGATCCTTCGCTGAAGATTCGATGCCCACTCAAAGCTCCCCAGATGAATGTTTCCGAAAAGACCATCGGGTCAATCAGGCATGGGAGACGTCCGGCATGAATGGGGCAAGCGTTCGAAGCTCGAGGCGGAGCGTCGGAACGTATCACAGAAGCAAGCCTGGGCAAAATCATGAGTCACTGCATGAGGACGTTGTTCGTTCCCCGGAGGATTTCCACCAGGAGTTTCCCGAGCTGATTGTGAATTGTGAGTCATTCCTCGAAGAAAACTTAAAGAGCTCACGAAATCCCGCAGTGTTGCAAGAATCGCGACATTCAAATCTCCCATGGATGTGGATGGTGGAAAGTCTGATCGATAGGATCAATCAAAGAACGAATGGAGACGAAATTCAGCGGAAGTTTCTCGCTCCTCGCTGAAGCACGGTCGTCATTTTGAGCATGGTGGGATCGGAGCCTCGATTCCCCAGTTCTCTGGCTGAGATGGAGCGGATTCTAGTCGGAAATCGAGAGCGATCAGGTGAATGTCCTCCACATCCCAGCAGATGTGAGACACGTTCGATGTCAATCCTTCTCGACGCCCCTGACAGTTCGAATCGGGCACCGTCTCCGGGAGAAATGTCTTCCAGAGATTGACTTCCTTGACTTGAGACCGGTCTCTGACTCTGCTTTCGTGATCCAGTGATCGCCAGGACGTCCCCCATCGCTCGCATGACAGACCCGACTCGGTATTCAGATGATATCAGGTTCGCGCTCACGGTTCGATCCAAGACCCTGCCTAGACAGGGATTCTCCCGGGAGCTTCCCAGGAAGACGGCTCCGTGGAATTGAAAATCATTTCATTTATTGATTCTGACATCCTCCGACTATCGTTCCAGGAAGATATCGCTAATCTGGATCCGTTTCTATCCTGAGAACTGATATCGCACATGCCATTTGGGATATTTTACCGGCGCGGCTCACTGCGCAACGCACCGGAGACTTTATACAATTTTTGGCGCTCCTAAGAATCTATCTCGGCTAGTCACCTGGATCAGCCCGAGTAAGCGAATCTGCGAGAGGGATGACTGGATAGGAGCAAACAGCCAAAAATTTTCGGAGCTTGGGCGGAAAATTCGGGCCCAGGCAATGGGGATTCGAACTCACAGCGACCTATAGCTGATTGAACTACTCTCCTGGATGAGGGTGAGTCTTGATTGCTTGACGGGATGTGCAGCCCACTAAGACGAAGCTTCCCTACAGCACAGCAGGAGTCTTGGGCGACGATTTATACAGAGACAGTCACAGTCGCATCCGTGTTTCGCCTGAGATAGGCTGCGAACGATACTTCAAAACGGATTAAAGTATGACGTGCGACCGTTGTTTTCTCAGTGATGTATTTTACAAATGAATACTTTCCCAGTTCCTTCCTGGGAGCTTGACAAAAAAAATGGTCGAGCATCCGTCACAGAGGATCGAATAAACCGATATCCTAGGCTGCTCCTTCGGATGCCTCCCCCGCCGAGGCTTCCGCCACCTTGACGAGCTCCACGCCAGCTGATTTCTTCAAATCCTCGACTACGTCATTATCGTCGACGCCGATTGGAACGATGACGGCTTCCATCATCTCCTGGGAATCGGGAAAAGAAAGTACGTCGTTATACCCCAATCGATTTCATGATTAGCCATATCAGACCAACTCTGTTTTCCAGAAAGATGGAGATCGTGAGAGGAAAACCAAGCTGCAAAGCGATACCCTGAGGTTGTCTTTCTTGTCTTCGATCTGGATATCCCAGAAGTTCCCTCATAGCTACTCGACTTTTCCATACCTCTCCCCCACCAGCTATAATCACGGCGGGGTCCGAAGGATCTGTGTCTACTTTGGCTTGGGGAGCGATTTCTTTGATGGATTCATCTTGGCCGTTTTCTCTCGAGTCCTCCAGTGGGGTCAGGACGGCCAAAACCTTCGCCGGACTCGGGTTCTCGCCCACGGGGTCAGTTCCGTTGCTTGTGCTCACTTTCCCTCTCAATTGGGCTGGAAAATCAATTTAAAGATTAGAATTCTCGATTTTCAAATGCATGCGGAAATGGCCTGTGGTCGGAATTGTGAGCAACGAACCTCGGGCGGGTGCGGGGTCACCGGTTATGACGCACATATCGTCGTCGTCCTCGTCGTCATCATCATCATCATCATCGTCGTCTCCCTCCTCGACAATGTCTTCATCACAATCGTCATCGTTCTCGTCGACTTCTTCGACTATTTCTCGCTCTCGGTCCGCGGCAGCTCCTCGGCCGATTGGATTGTTGTCGGCGGTGTCTGAGCTAAATGGCTCGACATCGTCTTCATCGTCGTCATCAGCCTCGGGTTCACCCTCTCCGACCCGGAGTTCCGGCTCCCTCGACGAGCATGGGCCTTCTCGCGTGATGACGACGTCGTCATCGTCGTCGTCGTCTGCAAGTCGGAATCCGGTTATGGGAATGAGTGCGGAGATTAAGACAATGTCTCGATGTGGACTTCGCCTGGCAGCAGCCGAGCGGGAGAAAATAATTATTTCAGACTGACCTGCAATGATCACGGCTGCGTCGGAACCGTTGGCGTGTTCCTGAATCGGTATCATGCGACTTCGTTTCGCGAGCGGCATCTCTACGTCGCATTCCATTTCCCCGAAGGCCTCCTCTTCATCCTCCGCGTCGAGATCTTCGTCATCATCGATGTCTTCGGCGTCTTCATCGAGATTCTCCTCATCGTCATCCTCGTCCGACGGCGTCACTATTTGCGTCCTCCCAAGCGCTTCACCGAGTTTCCTCTGGTAAGGGGAGGAGAGAGGAATGAAGGAACGAGAGGAGAAAAATTTCATTAGGCACCGATTAATTATTATCAGGCTGATCGGGGTGAGCTCAGTGTTAATGAAAAATTTGGAAGTGGATGGAAATTTCCCGAATGGCGTGATAGAATCGCGCGCACCTTTTGACTTTTGGGTCCTGGTCGCGATATTGCACGGATAGCTGCATCCATTTGGGCTTGCCGCACGCTGGGAACGTCGGTATTCGTCGCCTTTTCGAAAGTTTTCGGTGCCCGGAGTGAGCTCTCAATCGTCTGCGTCTCCACCGGACGCGTCCGCTCCGCTCGAGTCAACTGTAAACGTTTGATTTCTCGGTTGTGCTCGTGGAGAGCGTGTGAGTAACTCGTCGAGAATGCACACTCGACGGGATTAATCTGGAAGGATCAAGCTCCTAGTTAGATGCCGTAGGCTTCCTTGAGATCGGAACCACAATCTTCTGGGGAAAATCGACAAAATTATCTCGACAGAATAAAAAAGGGGCCAAGCTGCCTGAACACTCACGATGCCGCTGATTATCTTGTAGGAAGCTCTACAGGTTTCCTGCACACGGTGGTCGTCGTCGTTCATTCCCTCGGCCACGACCTTGCAAATCTCCGCCGAAGGCGGAAGGAGCGTGGTGTTGGGGTTTGTGCAGAACGCTACGAGTAGCTCGTAGATTAGATTTCGACAGGCGGGGCTCGTGCAGAAAACTCCTTTAAACGGCAAGGTCATCTCGATGGCGTAAGGAATGAGTTGCATGAGCAAGTTGCGAACGTGATCCTTGTCCCGGTGACCGTACGACAATACGACGGCGCGTTGGAGTTTGAGCGCTGCGCAAACCAGAACGACCTGATTCGGCCCCGTGTAGCTCGTCACGTCCTCACACGAGAGTTTGATAATTTTCATGAGCGAGTCTGGCTGATTTCTGTAGAAAGCAGACGGCGGTATCTTCTGCAACCAGTCACTCATCGCCTCGTAGATGTAGGCTCGCATGAAACTCAAATCAACCGATGCGTTCAACAGCGTGATGTCAAGCGCATCCATGAAAATCGGTATGAAGAGATGGTTCTTCAGGATGAGTTGATCACCGAAACGACAGATCAGCTGCCGTAAGACGGTCATGGTCTTGAGAATCAGAGACGGATGCAGGAAACTGAGATGCTCATCGCGTCCACCGGAAACGAGCACCGTATTCAAGAGCTTGAAGAGAGATTCAGTTGAAAAGCTCTTCGACAGATTCGACTCCAGAAGAGCTCCGATAACTTCCAATTGGAACGTGAGACGTCGCCAAAGGATCAACTTCGCCTGTAGATGATCCACTCCGTCCGGGAACGCGGTCTCCCCCGTGATTCCATATATGGTGCCTTGGAAGGATTCTTCGGTGGGACGGTCTTGAGTTTGACTATGAAGCCTCTCGGTGAGTAGGCAACTCCTGATCATGACGTCTAAATACGAGGTCTGAACGTCGTGTCGGGTTTCAGGATCGGCAACGCATGTCGATAACATAGCAAGTGTCCTGGCGAGAGCTTCACACGTGGCCTTGTTCAGCAGCTCGGCCTGGACGATTTGCTTGAAGAGGAATCGCTCCATGTGCTCGCGATTCGGGCCGCAAGATTTCGAGAAGAGAGACACAACTGACTGCGTCAGAGACAGCAAGCTACAGCTGACAGGGACTTTGGCCAGTTCTCGGGTGACCAGTTGGATTAATTGAGGGAAAACCTCGTGTCGGATGTCACGCAACATGTAGAGCATCGACTTGCACCTGATGACCAGCCGGTTCAGGACTCCCAAGCAGGTTTCAGCGTGGCTCTCGTTCGCACACTGAAAGCCGAAGTAGCCGGTCAGGATCCTCCCGACAAGGGTCGGTATTTGATCTCATAGGATTACGGATGGAATAATTTTCTTTGAAAATACCCTTGACCCCCGCCTAGCTCTCCATGGACACCGCTTACCATTCCGATGATTTGCTTGAGAAAAAAGACGAGATGCTCGCTGAAGATCTGATCTGGAACTTTGTCTAGAATCAGATCGAGGAGTATGAGGCCTTCGACGCGGCGAGCTTTGTTGGTTAGGAGATTTTTCACCAATGGGCATATTTCATTCAAGTGATGCTGGAAAGAGGAGGACGGTCAAGTTAGATTGACATTGCGAGTACCATGGGGTGCGTGCTCCTAAATATCTGGGTATCCCGATCCAGCCGGTGTAGAGATCCCTCGAAGCAGCTCATGCCATAAGACTTCATCGCTATCGGCTATGTAATTCTCCCCAACCCCGGAGACCGCGATATGTCTCGAGCCGTTAATTCAGGGGAGGGGGTACCGAATTTTTCAGAAAGAAGATACAGGAAACGTCAGGGAAGTAAGCGCCGCCGGTAAGTTCCGCTTTTAATATTATCATAATCGCTCATTCATTAAACCTTGTGATCAATCGCCCGTTCGAGCCCTCGAAATCTGAGATACCAGATCTCGAGAACTCGTTCTTCCTTTCTCGAAGAAATCTCTGTAGTCGAAGAAGTCTGCTCTCTGAGTGAGTGGCGCCATTCCGCCCCGACCCAGTCCGTAAACTTTCGCTGGAATATCAGCTCATTGGATATCTTTCCAATGTTCGAGGGATATTCGCCAGAATGCCCGAGCATCCCGTCTCGATAGCAAACACAGTTGTCTTTCGGAGACTCACGCGACTGACTCCGGTAATGTGAATCTCAAAATAACTCCACTCACTTTCGGCACTCCGATTCCAGGTTCCTTGAGACTTTCGTAAAATCGAATTTTCTGTTCGAGAGGTATATTTGTATTCTTCATGTACTGGATGAGAATCTGCATCTTGTCTCACTGAAGCGATCGCTTTCTAGAAGAAGGAAAAATGTTCCTATGTTATGAAACCGTCACAACGCGCTAAGCGCCACGAGCTGCGGTGGAACAGGAGTGATGATGGTGGTTGGTGGCGGTACCAACAACAACAAAGGCAATCCGGCTCGTAGGCTGCGTACGACGTGTTCTTGGACGCTCGTAAATATGCCTGGGACAGCGTAGAATAGTAGATATGTCAAACCAATTGGCACAACGTACAAGAAGAACGCGGGGTAAAATTGCGCAAAAATGGAATCTGTCGATGGGAGAGTGTATACAATGAGATTGATGATCTTTACTGTCAGTTTGTGCGGCCCCGGGCGGTCCCGTCCACAGCTTCCCGATTCTGATATTCACACCCGCGATGGGATACACCTGGATAAGATCTTTAGGCTGATCTCATGGGATCATTCAGGATCACGACAGTTCACAGATGGCCCAAGCCGGTTCAGAAGAGGGTTGAGCGGAGTTGCTACATGAATGATGTGTTGCCTCGAGTCAGTCTGGGGGAACGACACAAACGGTTCCACGACCGTCGATGTTAGAGGTCAATCGGACAGAACGCCATAGGCGATTCCGATCAGAAATGATGCCACCGAACCTGGCTATCCCCCCTCGAAATCCCCCCTTCCTAAGAGCAACACAGAACTCCGCTCTCAGCGTGGTGGCAGCACTGATTTCCCACATGAAGAGACTGATTGCAATACGTGATCCGGGCACAACTCCGACAAATCCGAGGATACGGATCGACAGCTGAAGCATCGCGAAGCTTCGGAACCTAAGCGGTTCATTTCATCAGCCGGACGGCCCAGGAGAAGCGATCTCGACCGCCAAACTGGACATATTTCGAGGTTTCCTCATTTCGTTGCTCTTGCCCCGGGCGCGCAATTCCTCGAGTATTCAATCATGCCCTGCTCCGACCAGCGATCGTGTGTTCAATACTCCCTCTGACGTGCTGAATTTCACACGCTCGATCCTTCACTTACTATCGGAGCTCATTCGGTGCTGGCGAGATCGACACCGCGTTCCTCCCTGAAACCGGAGACCGCGAGAAGCCTCCATTCCCTTGATGCATTCCTTCCGGGCACTTATCGAGCTCCAGACCCGACTCCTCGAATTTTCTGATGTTCCCCTATGGGAATGGGTCTCCTGTACCACGAACAACGACGCACAGATGCCATACTCTGGTCACCGAGAGCTCTCCGCGAATGGGTGAGCCGACCACAATCAATCTCTAGCTCGTCAGAGGTACATAGGTATGTATGTGGTTTCTGCGGCTCAGTGGCTTCCTCATGCCACCATGCCATAAGCTAGGGCTAAGCTCTGCGCTGAGAGAGTAGCTCTTATGACATACATAACGAGATATGACTGATTGTGAGTATGATATAAGTAAATCAATGGAGCTGACAAAAAGCTAGAGCTCGAAATATATCATGGATCAAGATGATGATAATCGAGTCTTCCTAACCGCTGCATGCCGAGTCGAGCCATGTAAGCGGACCACAGCTACCTGAGACAGCTCTCTTCGCACAAGGGGCGGCTGCTCAACATTCAACACTGCGTTAGTTCCATCCACAGTTTAGGAGAGAATCTGTGGATATTGGAAATGGAGAATGTGATGCCTTCAAATTGTCTGTGCTTCTGCTCAAGGGAGCAGATACCTGCATCCGCTTATCCACACTGATGATCTGCTTCAGGGAGGTCCTTTGAGTCTCGCGAACTTTCCGTTCAAAGAGAAGACGATCCAGAGCAGGTCTGGTCCCAGAGGGCGCTTTATTTCTCTAGGTATTGAGAAGGTTTCGAAAAAATATGATTTATACAAAGCATGAAGACGAAAAGCCAGTTCTCATAGATGCAGTCAGATATAGCATTTTTCGGTGGTACCACCAATGTTACTGGTGAAAGACCATAGGGTTATGGTGTAGAAGAACAAACCATCAGGGATATCTATAAAAAGTGTCTCTAAATCAGTTGTGTCTCGAATGGAGCTCTGGTCGCGAGACACAGAGACCGGATCCGTATAAGATCGCAGCATTAATCTACACCGAGTCATCTCCCCTGCGAACTGCGTAGTCGCTCGAGATATTCGGAATCCGCGCTCAATAAAAAAAATAGCCATTCAACGGACGTACTTCTGGATTGCCTCAAATGCTCGACGAACTTGCTGTTGCGTCACTTCTTTCTCCCACATCGACGATAAAACAATGTGCGCTTTCTCAATGAACATTTTCGCCGGTTTCTGCGAGCGGATTTTCTTCAGGGCAAGTTCATGATCACAATGATCCCTCTCCGTGACACGACAAATCGCTTCCTTTTCCGAAATGAGCGAATACCAAACCATGTGAGTCAGACGATCCCAGCCTCCCTCAAAGAGCAGAGCAGCTTCTATTACCACAATTCTCGCTCCAGCCCGACCAGCTTCCTCAATCTGGAACCGAACACGAATTAAAATTTTGTCCCTGGTATCTACATGAGCATATCCTCCATGATTTCAGATCTCCCGCTGGCGGTGAACGAACTTCGAGCAAGCACAAACCTTCTGCCGGATCAATCGCTCAATCTCGGGCCACACGAGTCCGTTCAATTGCTCTCGCTTCTTCGCGTCCGCGAAAATGATCGCTCCGAGCGCCCTTCGGTTGATGCTCCCGTCCTCCGCGCGAACGCTTGCCCCGAAAGTATCGACGAGCTTCTGGTTCAGAGCCGTGCCAGGTTTGTACGTTTCGTGACCGAGGAGATCCGCGGAGATGCAAGAAGCTCCCAAAGTCTCCAGCGTTTTCGTGATGTGCGTTTTACCCGTGCAGATACCTCCCGTGAGTCCAATAACGAAGGGTGATGGCGGAATATTCGGGTTGGGGCTCGGCTCTCGGAGAATTCTGCCGAGTAGTGCGATGCGTTGCGAGGAAGACGAGATTTTGTCGTCCATGAATTTCTCGAGCTTGTTGTGGTTTGGCAGCAAGGACACGTTAAATAGCGCCATCGCGGGGAAATTCTGAGGAGAACGTCGGCCATCGTCATAATGGTATTCACGATGGAAAGTATCTAGGAAATTGTTTGAGACCTATAGTAGCAATTACCTTCTTCGCGCGTTCCTCGTTGACCTTGTGGCCGCCCTTGATCGTCTCATCCGAGACATACAAGCATTCCAGACTGGGATCTTGAATTGTTGGCCCGTAGGGATCGTAAATCGGGGTGACGTCATAATTCAAAGTTGGGTCCATATCCCGCAGACATTTCTTTAAGGCGTCGATTCTGACCTCCAGGGGTTCAATTAACTCCCACAGGAGCTTGTCTGGAAGGAAGGAACATGAATGAACATGAATATATGATCCAGAATCCAGAGGATTATTATCCGAATAGACGATCAGAACCGGAGCAGGCAATGACATTGATTGATCTTGCTAACCTACTTTTTATCATGTCGCCATCGGTAACTCCGACCACTAATTTTTCCGTCGCTCTTGCTACCGCGGAACTCAGGAGAACCTTGTGTCCGAGATGCAACCTGTCGAAAGTTCCTCCCAAACACACGCTCTTGAAGCTGGCGGAATTTGAGCTCGTCTCCGGCTGATCGTCGTCGGACTCCAAGGTCGTCGACGGCAAAAAATGAATTTTCGGACAGATGGCGAAGTTTTCCTTCACGTAGTCTTCGACATGATCTACGAACAAACATCCACTTTAGATATCAGGCATTCCATGCTGCGATGAGGAGGGTGAGCCGGAGGAGGACCCCCTCGAATACTTCGTGGGATAGAGAACAAGGAACAAACACTCCTCAGTGAACCTAGAAAACTCACGGAAACCGCTCTGAGCTAGCACGACTTCCACGCTGTTGTTCAGATGTGTTTCTCGAAGCTCGACGTTCTTCAGGAATCCTTGAAGCACTCGGACGTCGAGGTGACTGCACTCTCTCGCTGCCTGCGGGAAAAAATAATGTCAGAAGCGCTTACGGTAAACAGTACGGAGAGGCCAACAAGGGGCAGGTGAATGCCGAGGTGACCCTAAGAAATCCGGGTCACCAGTCACCAGATGCTCGGGGCATGGAACTCTGAACGCCGAGTCTTCGCCGGGGGTCGTGTCTACGCATGGCAACCGGTACTCACCTCTCCGTATATTCTGGGAATGAGACTGCGTAACTGCGAAATTTCGCCGAGAGTGAATGCGGTTCTCTTCAGGGGCCACTGGTATCCGGGTTCGAGGCGGATGTAGAGGGTCTGGTCCACGACTTGCCGGGCTTCGCGCAGGAACGGAGCCACATTCTTGAGGATTTGACGGATCGGGGTCGCGATGACCAACAGACCCGTGTGAAACATCTCTGTAAAGGAAGGAGCGTTACTGCTCAACGTGTTCGAATTCTCTGACGGAAGGAAGTGACGTTCGATCGCTGAACGCTCCGTCACTATCGGAACTCTGGAATCTCGCCCTTGCTCGAAGGTATCGAGACAGCTCCGCTCCACGACACAGTTCGAGAATTCACCGAGGGTACACTCGGAGCTATTGGCGTTGGTCGAAACTAGAAAACTCCGTCGACCATCGTCCGCCGAGAGCTCAGAGGAAGGATAGAAAACAGGATCGAGGCAACATTCTTCCCGGTTCGGGGCTCAAGTTTTCCCGAGGCACAGCAGTCAGACACTCATTCCGTTGTAAGAACTCACGTCCTTTTGCCTCGTCGCCCATGTCTCGATCGAAAGAGGACACTCTTGGCTGACCACTTATCTTAACCAAACCACAGACTGTCAGATCTGCTGACGTGCCACCGCTTACCTCCAAGAGCTGAAGACGTGGAGAGGAGGTCTGAAGTGAGAGCTTCGCGGCCTCTTCACAAACTGTACGAAGAATACCACATCCGGCAGGAAGGACCAAGAGAAATTACTTCCCTTGCAATTCCAATTGTCTATGTGCACACCGCACAGCTTCTAGCAGACCAGTCGAATCAGCCTTACACAAACGCATGTGTGCCGTTATCAGGAGATCGTAAGCGCAACTCTCGAAGGTTCGCATACGGTGAGATGAGCATGCCTTGGACTCGCATCGCTCCCGCAGCGAAATCGCGGCAGGTACTCAATCCCCGACTCGGGAGATGAAGAGCAAAGATGAATGCTGGACCGGCGTTGTGTGGGAGTTGACTGAGAAAATCTCAGACTTTCTCTCCGAAACTGCTACAATGGAAGTGCGCCCGCAGAATGCATTCACGAACACATGGATACCTCCTGAAACAATCAGCGAAGAGAAGCGAACTCCGAGACGCGCGGGAGCACGGAGACTGTGTGCCTCATGGGATACACTATATCTGAGCATGCGAATTGCGGATAGAAACCTCCTGCGGAGGGTAGGGTCGCTGCGAAATACCTCGGGAAGGTGCCAGAGAAGTCGTCTACCCCCCAATGCTCAACAGATCGATCATGTAGATGATCTTTGCTTTATGATTTTCAGAATTCGGAAGCTTTAAGCAATTCTTGATCTTTTCGCGGAAACGAGAGTTCTTCAGCGGTGAGGAATCACCGAAGGCTTGGTCTCTTCTTAGACAATCAGATCTCTTGAATTCATCCATTGTTCTTCTGCGATGCAGAGTCCGAATGCTAATCGCGCACTCATGACGGTGATGCAGACTCTATCCCAGTCGCATGTGGTGATCAGGACCTCAGGATATTTTTGCTAAGCAAGCTGTCGATCTAGAACAGCGGCATCGCGCGTCAAGAGCCGAATTCAGGGTCCGAACGAGTGCTAGAAATCCTCGGAGGCCACTGAAAACTGTGAACTGGGGCGGACCGTTCTCGTCCAGACGTCAACGATTCCTCAGATTAAGATATCATTGCATTCGGTACTCCTTGAATGAATATTCCAGAATCCGCTACACCTGTCGCGCAGAATCCCGCTCGGCTGGACTCATATCTCCCAGTAGAACCCATAATCATTCACAATTGACGGCATTTCTTAGGAATCGTGTGAAATGCCCGACAACATGTGTTTCCCGCAATTTCCCCGGGGACTGTGACAGGTCGAGGGTCCGAGGATTATCACTGTTGACAATCTCGAGGACTGTAAGGAGCTGCAATCTATCATTCGCCCCCAACCGCTATAATTCGGAAAATCGTGGAAAGCTCAGAGCCTCAGGAACTTTCTCTTTTCTCCAGCAGAGATCATCACTGTCATCGCAAGCTCCGTCTGGTAGTACCTCCCCCTCTGTGTCTGTCGTCCCCAGTGGCACGTGCTCGCTTTGTTTTGGTTTCTCCTTCTCAACATTGATCAACAATAGTGTGGCCGCGCAAGTTGGGGGAAACTCTGCGATACTTCTCGAGGATCAGTGATGTCAAGTTGACAACATGAAAGAAGTGCTCAAAGTCGAACGCCAGATCAACGCTTTCTACGCCGGGGGCGATGTTTTGTGGACATCGAATGGAGAAAAACTTTTTTGTCAGTCTGGATCGGCGGTGAATCTCGTCAATGTCGGAGATGGGCTGGTCGACTCGGTTTTTCGACTCGGTGAGGAAGAGACGGTGACCGCGTTGTCCCTGTCTCCAGACAACACTATACTGATAGTCGCCTCAAAAAATGATCTCCTGCGACAATTCAATTGGCAGGAGTCCGGCACCGAGGTCCGTCGGAGCTGGAGGACCATGTTCAAAACACCGGTCCTGAAGCTCGAGTTCGACGTGGACAATCGGATGTTAGCGTCCGGAAGTGCAGATGGTGCCCTGAAAGTTTGGGATGTCGTATCCAAGTATTGCACGCATAACCTTAAAGGCGCATCTGGGACCTTCACCATGCTGCGCTTCCATCCAACGAAACATTTATTGTACGGAGCGACTACCCACAGCGGAACGCTTTTCTGCTGGAATCTGAAGGACTCTCGGTTGGAGCAACAATTGGAGGCTCACACCTCGGTCATCACGGATCTCCAGTTTGTGGACTCGAAGGTCGCCTTGACGTCATCCAGAGACAAGGTCGTCGTTGTCTGGGACATTGAAAAACATCAGGAGATCCGAAGCATTCCCGTATTTGAGAACGTTGAGAGCCTCATGCTTTTGAGAACAGAAGACGCTGGTTTCGCAGAAGGGCATTTCGTCACTGTCGGCAACAAAGGCGTCCTGAAAGTATGGCACATCGCGAGCGGTAAATGCGTAAAAGAACAAGTCGAGGAGAAAGCCGCCGTCCTGGCCTCAGAAACCGACACCGTCGTTGTGAAGGGAATGTTCAACCGAGAGATCGGTTCCTTCGCCGTCGTGACCTACGAGCAGAATATCGTACTCTATGATGCCGAAGATTTCGAGCCCACGAAACGCCTCACCGGGAACTATGATCAGATACTCGACCTCGTTCTCCTGGGACCGGCTGCCGAGCTCCTCGCAATCTGCTCGAATTCCCCGCTGATAAGAGTCCTCAACAGAACAACAGGCCACACGTCGCTTCTCAAGGGACACTCCGACATTGTCCTCTGCGCAGCTGTAGCGGGGTCTTATCCGAATCTGCTCGTTTCCGGGAGCAAAGATCAAGATATCCGGGTCTGGGGCTGTCAGGAGAATGAAATGAAATGCTTGAGTAAGGGAAGCGGACACACGCATTCGGTCGGAGCCGTCGCAGTTTCGAAGCTGAAGGCCGACGTCAAAGGCAACATCCAGATCTTCTCCGGCGGTGAAGACAAGACCCTGAAACTCTGGAGCTACAACCTCGATAATAATTCGATCTCCTGTCAATACACGGTCAGGGCTCACGAGAAAGACATCATGTCTATCGATACTAGCTCGAACAACCAGCTGGTGGCCACCGGTTCCCAGGACAAAACCGCGAAGTTGTGGAGAGCGGCGGATCTGTCGGAACTCGGAGCTTTCAGAGGTCATCGTAGAGGAGTCTGGTGCGTGAAATTCTCGTCCGAGGAACCGATTCTCGCCTCGTCGTCCACGGACACCACGGTGAAGATTTGGAGTATCGACGATTTCTCCTGCCTGAGAACCTTTGAAGGTCACGAGTGCTCTGTGCTCCGAGTGATGTTTGTCAGTAGAAGCCAGCAGCTGCTCACCGCCGGAGCCGACGGCAATCTCAAGCTCTGGAACATGAAGACGAACGATTGCGCGGGGACCTTCGACGGGCACGAGGGCAGGATCTGGGCCCTGACTGCGACCGCGGACGAGATGACTTTCGTGACCGGTGCGGCCGACGCAACGATCAGTGTCTGGAAGGACGTGACGGAGGAGGAGAAAGAAGCGGCGATGGAACTCCGTGAGAAACTTATTCTTGAGGAACAGACTCTCCTCAACTTCATCCAGGACAAGAAATGGTCGAAGGCGCTGAAGCTCGCGCTAAATCTCGAACATCCGCAGCGGACGTTGAACATCGTCAAAGCTATTCTCTATGAAGACCAAGCCTCCTCGAAGCTAGAGAAAGCCCTGCATGGCCTCGAAGCGTTCCAGGAGAACACGCTATTAGGTTTTTGTGCGACTTGGAATACTAACGCCAAGCATTGCCACGCAGCGCAGGCCATTTGTAGGCTGCTCTTGACTTCGCAAAAACCAACGGCTCTCTTGGAACGATGGAAAGACCTGCACGAGCACTGTGCGGGACTCCTTGTGTACTCGGAGAGACATTTGGAACGGCTACAGAAACTAGAGCAGCAATCGACGATTCTAGAATATATGTTGAAGAATATGCATGTAGCCGCGGATGTTGAATAAATTAAAGTTGGTTGACCGGATTCTTCATGCCGATTTCCTGAATCACACCGATCCGAGTTTGGCTTCCTTCATCGAATAGTTCGTTTTTCGTATCTCGTCCGAGCGACATCGTCCCCACGGAGAACTCCGCACCTTACGCTCGTGGACTGACGCGGACTGCACTGCAAGCTGCAGGTCGAGCGCGAATCTCTCAGACACCATCGTCGGCCGGAGTAGAGCGCGCCGTTCGAATGCGTCCATAAGCATAGGGATCCCTCCGGCGGAGAAAGAGCCAAACAGCGCGTCTGCTTCAAAGCTGTCGACAATAATTATTATTTGTAGGATTCCAGTTTCTCCCTGTGGTGGACTGATGCCGCCGAAGAAAGGTGGAGGTGCCAAAGGCGGTGGGGAGAAGAAGGACGATAAGAAGGAGAAGGGGGCTCCGGCGGAACAGCTGTCAAGGTAATCAATTCGCAATAAAAGGGGATTCACCGGATCGGATTCTCGACTTCTCCTGTGAGCTCCGCCAACTATCGAACGCATTCGGCGAACGGAAACTGGCCTAGGTATTTTCCATCTCTTGTGATTCGTCATAGATTTTCTTCATCTCTGTCTCGGAGCACCGCTTGCCAGCTTCCGGCGCCGGCTCAAATCGGCGTAAACAAGGGGTGCTTAGGACCGCATGCTCGGAAACATGTTGCGGTTGTTTTGCTTCCGAGTAACTCGAGCGCTGCGCGTAAATTCCGAAGATCGGAGCTCTTGCTGACAATTCATTTTTTGCGGGAGCGACTGGGGAATTTGGGGATGGGTAAGGAAATGGTTGACGATGCATTTCCGCGATGGCTCCGGGAGTGAATCGTTCATTGTTCCTCTCAGGTACGTCACATTTTGTGCGAGAAGCAGTCGAAATGTTTGGAAGCGATGGAGAAACTCAAGGCCGGAGAATCGTTCGATAAAGTCGCCGCAGCCTTCTCTGAGGACAAGGTGAGCATTCCACGGAGAGTCATGCATCTACCCCCAAGTCACTCCTCCAAGCTTTCGCATTCCCTATGGGGGGATGATTCCGCTGTAATTTGTGAAAATCGAGAGAGCTGATCTTTGTTCGCCCCCATAGGCCCGGCACGGCGGAGACCTCGGCTGGATGACAAGAGGATCTATGGTAGGACCTTTCCAAGATGCGGCATTTCAGCTGCCAAATTCTACGTGTAATAAACCTGTCTATACTGACCCACCCGTGAAGACCAAGTTCGGATATCATATCATCATGGTTGAAGGCAAGAAATAAATCCAGTCCAAGTTCTTGCCTCGATCGGAGCGTCCCGTATCTTTGCTCACAGAGAACACCGCTCCTCCATGAAAAGAATTCCTGTAATATTCTAATGGACGGGCACCCCAACAACGAACTTTCCTGTGCCTCTCGCAGAAAACTATCAAGCACTTCCGAAAAGGAGGCTAGGATGACGATCCGGCCGTCCACGAGGAATTCCAGACACGACGAGTGGATGAGTCCTTTTCCTTCGGCATTCTCAAGTTTTATTGAAAACTTATGAAACTTTCCCCTTCGATGAGTCAAAACTGAACCCTTCCATAACATACACAATCAGTTTTCCGTACACAAGATCTCGAAAAGTAATCCTCAGCTAGATATGTTCGCCATCGTTCGACACTTCCGCACAAGATTTCAATCGCACAAGTCGCTATCGTAAAAAAAACCGAGGTCAATCCGGACCCGACCTCGATATGGGGGGATACAAAAGTACAGCATCATTATATTATCATCATGGAGCGTGATTCTGTTTTTTTCTTATTTTCGATAGATATACCTAAGCGTCGCGCAGCCAATAGTTCTCCGAAGCGACGGACTCGCTTCGGAGGGCTCGCGACAGCGGTTCCATTCTCCTTCTGATTTCTTTGATTTTTTCCTCTCGATAATAGGCTCCAGAACCAATACAGGAGGTCACGATACGGTTACCGTATTCTCGTCGAGTGAGACAAGAACACCATGTCCCTGAGCTCAAGTTCTCCCTCACGATTCTGGTATGCCGCAGTATGTTTCGCTGTAGTAACTCAGAAGCTTCCATGCACTTTGGTTAATTAATATCACAATTTAACCACTTGTGATACACAGCAGTAATGAGGCAGTGTCGCCTGCTTTCTTTAATGGGGCCCAAGAGTCTCTCCGGTCTGAGTGGTGGGGTTTTTGGAGGAATTCACGGAGGATCCCCTGAGAGTCTTTTCACAAAATCATCGAGCTCGTCAGGCCTTCAAGGAATGATTTTCATCGCCGAACGCTCATGAAAATCGTGAGGAGATTTCCAAGCGAGATGGGTGGTCAGATCAAGACGGTTGCACTCTCCGTCGACGATATAGATATATATAAGTCGATCTCAATATGTATGTATATGATCACGTATATGTGAGATGATTGAAATGGTGAGGCGAATTGAATCGGAGGTGTTATAAAAAAGAAGTATCGGAAAGATAGAATGGTTCGTCTTCAAAAGACGGACACTATAAGTTCGTTCTCTTGTTGAGGTAAGTTGTGACGATAGAAGTTTTGTTGATGTCCCGCTTATAGATCGCTTAGCTTGACGAATACGAGCAGATGTTTAGCACCTCATGAACCCCACCAGCACCGAGTATTGTACCCAGTTAGCTCCAGCTAAGAGCTCTAGTCACCTGGGGTAGCATTCCCCGTTTTTGATGCTTAGTCCCTTCCTGTTGTCAGGACATCGGACTCCGGCGGCTCTATACGCGAGGCTTGAAGGGAGCGTGACCAGGAGCGGTCTGTGAGGCTTGGTCGTTAGACGAATCCGCAGTCTGTATCAGGCAACTGCCCCCATTCGGTTCTACGGCCACTGAGATCGTGCTGCCCGAAGAAGTGCGTTTGGCTGCTCCATAGGACGAATTTTCTTTGTTCTTCCTCGAATTGGATCGCTGTAATTCGAGGGAATGTTCATTAGAAACGGGGGAAATTTTATTCCGAGGTTCGAAAGGGATGAAATACTCGTCCGACGATCATCCCTCGTGCGATTCCCCGACACCGCGTCACCACTCGTACCTTGAGGGATGTTTTTCTCTGAATTCCGCTTGACGAGTTGCTGGAGGTAGAATTAGTCGACGAAGACCGATCAACTTGCAAGAGGGAGCTCTTCACGTCATCGAGAGCGGACGCCGAGTTCGAGTGGGATGACGCACAATTCTGCATTTTGCCAACTTGATTCAGTGGCTGCAGCGGGTTCTTGCCTCCGACAATGCCTAACATCGTGACGGGCGCGCCTGTTGAACCCGCGGTCGGCGCACAGCTTAACTTCATTGGGACTTCAAGCTGCGCGGGCACCACAGGGTTCAGGAACCACTCGGAGCGGGTGCGCATTCGTTCAGTTTGGCGTTCATGAACCTGTTGACGACAATAATCCGGATTGTGAAACGAGGAATCGATGGATCCTCGCGGACGATTGGAATCCCTGATACGAGACGACGCAGAGGTCGTCTTCCGATTGCCTGACGCCGACATGCAACTTACCAAAGGAAGGAACGACATGGATTTATGGACGGCGTCCTTGTTACTCGGGTTGGGAGTTTGTGAATCAAGCGGGAGAAAGTCTTCGATGTTATTCATGAGGCTGGTCGTTTCCTGGAGATCTCCAATATCTCGCCGCCTCAGATCGGTTCCGAGGCCGCCTGTCACCGTGTAGGAATGAACCATCAAGTTCGGCTTCTTCGCCGGCGACCCCTACGGATAATGAAGACCAACACCGGGAATTGTAAGTGCGTCAGCCAAAGTGCAACCGGCTCACCTATTGGCTTCTTAAGTGACTTAGTGGTTCTATTCTACGGGTCGAAGATGGTATATGGTATATGGTGTTGACACCAAGAATGATGAGTAAGGTAAGTTTTGTTTGGAATCCTCGGATATTATTATTCACAATATTATACAGTAGTAATCATCGTCGTCATTCCTCTCTCTATGCATACACCTTGCGAAGAGAACGAGATTTCTGTCAGTTCTGAACAATGTACAAGGAGTCAATATTTGGTTAAAAACAAAAGGATTCCCCTGTAGTGTCCGTATTCGAACGAAGTGAGGGTACGTCAACGGATATTTTATCGCTATGTGGCGAGTGGGGAGAATTTTTGGTTTCTAGTAGGGAGAAATGAGATTCGTGCGCCGTAGTAAATAAACATCGTTCCGTCTAGGTCTACTTGGCACAGATTCTAATAGGATTTATGGATGATCCTAACTAACCTTGGTGGTAACGACTTGCATGCAGTTGTTGAACAATCTGTGCTGGTCATATTGTCTACCAGAGTCCTGAGGAGCTTTCTGCATGCATTCGCTGAGTTCCAACTGGTTGTTCTGTTGCACGTGTTTTCCGTTTTCGGGGGCGCCAAGCGATTTCAGCACGGTGGGGAGTAGAGTGTTATCCTCAAGCGATATAGAAAGCCGACCGTAGCACGCCTCGCCCTCGGCCTACACACCACGAAACGAGCACAAGCATGGGTTAGCACGGTTGTTGAGACACACTCAGTCACGCGTCACGCACGGACTACGTTGCGTTCACGTGCTGCTCGAACAGGACGAACTGACCGATGACTGAACCGCATATGGAGACCTATTCGCTTCAGGGCTTCAATTCTCCCAGGAATCCCTCTTTCTCTCGGGACAGAGCAATGTTCCGGATAGATCCGATCGTTCGGTCAGCTCGTCTATTCGAGAGCTCAGTCTCACAACCCGACAGCATACGTGATCGCTCGATGGCGGAAAGCAGCAGAAAGCGCAACAGAGGAGATCAGAGTTTGGAAACAAAGAGGGGTTGAGGGGAGGAAACAGAAATCAATCTCCGAGAACTCTAGTTCTCTGCGTTTTCAGTATTCATTGGGGCTCTAGGAACGCTCGTATCGACACGGGAACGGGAATTCCCTGTGATAGATGAAAGATGAATCAGACAAAAGAGGGCGGAAAGAGCGGAATTGATAGGGTTAGCAGACGAAACCTACTTGGGACACCCCCGACAAATTCAGGATGGGCGTAGACGCACAGGACGACATTCCCAAGGGACCGCCTACGCCAACCCCAAGCCAAGGAATAGACTCCTCTGCTTCGGAGATCTCCAGGGACGGCGGCGCCCGACCAAGTAGTATCGCGGTATCTTTGTGCGACGCGAAAGGGTACCTGGAAAACGAGCTTTGTTAGAGAATCTCCCTTCATCTATTTGATTCGTCAGGGGACTCTCGGCTCGGGGGAAAGCCTTTGGACACCTGCTAGAGGTTTACGCGCAGCATTCGATGAGAATTTCCTGTGCGCTGGACTAGAGGGGAAAAACTCACCGATCGGCGAAGATCCAGCCATCGTCCACGCGGAGAGCTCGTCCGGTCATCCTCGCGTAGTATTCGTAGTTTTCTCTTCCATATACGTTGCTCGCTCCAAATTGCTCAACTAGGAACTGCATGGCGCGAGTAGCGTTCTGCAACAGGAAGGTTCTGCATTGAAAGATCTGTGTGACTCACTGCGACATCGTCGGTCAGAGCGATCCGGTCGCGCATCAAAATCATACACTCGGGTGACGATGTAAGAATAATGTGGAGTCGTGGAAAGAGAATCAGCTCATTTGCGGAACAAACCATCACCTCAAATTTCGAGTGAACGGAAATATGGAGTTGGAACGCCCGATCTGGCAGTCATCTTTTTTTTTTGAGGAGAATAACTCCACTCATGAAAGCGGGACGATTCGTTTCTCTCCTCTCCCCCTTCAGGATAGCCGCGACGACAGCGGGATCGATGGAGTTTGCCGGTCCCAACGACTCCGGCTGAGCATTGCGCGATTTTCCTGCGAAGATGGGAAACCTCGCTCCCGCGTTTCCAACAGAGTTTATCCTTGAACGCGTGGCGAGAAGCATCAGCTTCACCCTATTTAGCTTTCGTCGAATTCCGAGCAACTTTCACTCCGCGAAACGAGCGGTTGAGCTACCTGGTTAAAACCCGGAGCTCGCTCACGGGACTGACGCGCGAAACTTCCAGGAAGCCTGGCGGAGTAGAGGCGAGTCAACTTCTCGCCAAACCATGAGAACGCAGGTCAATCGACCAACCACGAAAGCTAAACACTAGCCCAGCCGCTATTGAGCGGGAATGGGTCTTCCCAACGAATTGCCCCATTGGTTTTTCCACCGGTGACTCGCCGCGAACACAATGGGACATTACAGAAAATAGGACAATTTCTAGATTTCATTACGGGCACCACGGGGTCACAAGGTAGCGATTTCAAAAGCCGCTTTCACTATGACCGTCTGTTCGACGTATCCGTCCACGGGTTCGAACTCGAAGCGAAAAGTGGAGCGCTTCAAATCGTGATATCAACAGTTTCGCTGAATTGTGAGTGGAAAAAAACATGAAGCAGGAAAAAGACACCTGATACGTAGGTATATCACTTGGTCCCGAACGAAAACCCAGAACGACCAGGAAACGATGTCGCGTCGAGCTCGTCGCCCCGCGATTCGTCTGTCGTCATCATACAATCAGCGAAATCTTCTTCATTCCGGAGAAGCTCCATATCTCTTTCCGCACCAGGATTTTCTACTCTCGAGAACAATTTCTCGAGCTGCCGGTCTGAGGAGCTTCTGAAAGAGCTTCCGAGACCACATTCGGCACGGAATAGTTCTAATGGAAGTGATGCTGTGGGGAAAGCCGTGGATCTAATAGAAGCAGCAAGACGTTCTTCCCGCACGAAGACGATCTCTTCAGGCGGAGGAGCCGCAGGAAAAAAGGCCGCAGCTTATCGAACCAGAGAGGTGGAACTGACTGTCACCTGCACTCTCGAGAAGTTTCGCCGGAACGCATTTCGAGAATCTAGGAATGCAGATGAGGGAGGGCTGAAGATGAAAGTAGAATCGAGCGCAGCCTACCTTGAACTTCACGATATCGGTCATCCGAGCAGTTTTGTTGATACCGTCGCAGGTCCTGAAGAACGAGGGAGCCACACTCACTCCCAGTGCTTCAGCGTTCATCCTGTTCGTCTCGCTAGAAGCTGCGATCGTGCGTAACGTCCCGCAAATTAGCACCAACAGTCGCTGCGTCAGCGGAGGTAGGCCAGCTGGAATTGAGGAAAAACACGGCGTGATCAGACCGGTGTCCTTCAGCGGGGCAACGCCGCAGCATGCGTGCCACCCACGTGAACACGTATGCGCATACATTCCCATCGCGGCCTTGGACGAATATCGATACCGGGGTCGACTACGAGTGCGAACAGCTGTCGCCTAAGGCGGGGGAGACGATGTGGGAGATCTCACCTATAATAGAAGCGATGCGGTCTCTCTTTTCGTCGAGCGGAATTGACTCGTCATGAATAATTCCCAGTAAGCGTCCCTCGACCTCCGAACCGAAAATGCCGCCGGGGATCTTCCGCAAAAACTTTTTCAGCACCGAAGCTAATGTATGCACGGAGAATTTGTCCAAGTTTACAAGTCGACCCTGTTCTAGGAATTCGGTGAGTTTCTTCACGTTCCCTGGAAAGGAAAAAATAATGAAAACCGTCATTGGAGCCAGAGATGGTCAGTGATTTCAAACGAGCTGAGGATGCATGATCTACGGATGGACGCAATGCTGTGGGTGTGTACATGTTTTCTTCGTGAACTCTGGGTCTCTCCCTCGATGGAATGATTTTCGTGATTTCGTATCACGAGGGAAGTCTGGTCAAGCAACGATCAAGAGCATCAATGATGCGAATCCCGCTTGATTTCGGAGGATTTCCTCTCTTCTCAGCCGTCGAAGATTCGCCGACCACTTCAATCTTGATTGTCGTTCTGTGTAGGCTCGCGGAGAATTTCTGATAATACCCGTGGGTTCTACTCCTGACCTGTCAAGCGGAAACCCACTCTCGACAGAAACGCGAAGAGTCCTCCGCGAGCAGGGCATCTTCATCTTCTGGAATGCAGTTGAATTTCCGCAGAAAATAACGAACGACGCCGAAGAAGACGTGCGCGAAAATAAGTTTGGAAACCAGGCTCTTCGGGATACACTCCGCTATTCCCCGATGTGTGAAGCGGGAAAGTAGTCGGAACGTGACTCATCAGTCAGCTTCGACACGAGTCTAAGTGAGCTAATAGCATGCTCGTTTGTACATCCCCTTCATCAGGGAGATATCCAGCTGAGACGCGAGCAGGACGTTACAGGCGGCGCAAGTAAAGTTTTCCCACCCGTCAACAAGACTCGACCATAATATCGGGATAACTGTTTTCGAGGCATGAGAATTTTCCCGCAATTCGAGGCAAACTCTCGGAATCGCACGTAAGCGACCTTCGCTTTCACTGTTGAGTCACGAGTCTGCGAGCGGTTTCCAGCCAAGGCGATTCATCCATTTTACGACGGTGTGATACGATGGGTTTCGCCAATGGAACGATACCTTAAAGTATTGAAGCCCGAGCTCCTCAAGAAGAGAGTTTCACGCCTCCAGTGGAGGAGACCTAGAGTACCATGCGGGGAACCTCAGGGGAACCCACGTATTGCCAATCGATGCTGCCCCTTAATTAGGCGAGTCGGGAATTATGAATATACAATGTATAATTCATATTTATATACATTCAATACAATCCAATGATTGCAATCAGAAATCATATTCGAGCTGACTCATTGAAGAATTCGCTTCTCGAAGCCTCCATGTCGGAAGGAGTAGCTGGTGGGAGCTCTCTCGAAAGTCGCATGGATGGCGAGCCCCGAGTGTCAACGATAACCTACTTCCCAGTCCAAGATCACTGCGAGATATTATGTTGTCGGGCGAGATGTTGTTCTGGAGACTGACTTGCAGTAGACGTTGAGCCGAGTTCAATAAACTCGACTCGTTGGGAACAATGGTCCAGAAAGTCCGCGGATCTCGAATGCTGACTTCGAATGTAGGTCGTCCAACTGATTCAAGTCTAATTTGTTTCTCGGAGCACGCTAATTGAACGGGAAGCCTCAGTGAGTGTTGAATCAGAAAGACAGCATCGACTGCCTCTTGGAGACGTCGGCTCCCGCGCGGTGTGAACTTTAACGCGACCAGATTTGCTACGTTTGGTGACGCTTCCTCCCAGTTGATGACTCCACGCGACTCTGATGACTCCACGCGACTCTGATGCATTCCACGCGACCGATAACCAGCTGGGACACATGGAGCGATACGTAGATTCTCCCACCGCCAATTCGGGGAAGCTCTACATATAACTAGAAACAAGGCTCATCGATGAATTTCGAGGAGCAGCTGCAGCGACATCGATGCTCATGGCGGCCTTTTCTAGTGCGAATGGCAGAGGGGAAATGGGGAAAAGTCAACGTCGTCGTGAGTCAATCCATGGAACACTCAGCTTGCCTTTCAACGTAGTCACCAATGAAGCTCTGCAGTTCGATACGGGCTGCCTGAGCTCGACTCCGACGTCAACTTGCTCGCTCGCTCGTCCAGGCGGTCGGCAACAGCCGACGGAAATGGTGGAACGGATATTCCGCTCGCTCGTGCATATTTATAACATGATAAAAAAAAAAAAGCTCGTCAACATAATGGAGGAACCTTTTCATTTTGGGCTTCATCGTTCACTCGTTTGCCAAACGAGGGACGAACGGACGAACCGTCAGCTTGCCAGTAAACACAACAAGACTCTCGAGACGGCCACATTGAAAGTTCGAATTCGTATCAACCAACGATGAGCGGCAAAGCCCCGTTGTTTCGCTCTTCGCTCGCGTCGTATGACTTCGAGTACGAGGATGGTCATGGTGACGCGATGATTAGCGGCAGATCGTTCTTCATCCACAGCTTCGGGGACGATAGAAGTATGAATGGAAATGAATCCTCATTCATCCCCGTAGTAGAAAACACCTTACTTAAGAAATATTTTCTGCTGCGCCCCACGGCTGCGGTGAGCAACCAACGCGCAGTTACCCAGCGGGGGATGCCATTTCCATGAAAACTCCGATGCGGCCGCAAAGCTATCGCACAGAAAACACGTCGTAAACGTGGCTAAATATTGTTCCGTAAGTTGCTTACGTCGAGGGTTTACCAGCCTTGCCATAGACGACAGGACTCGTCTCGAACAGGACAGATTTCGTTCGACGTATTCGAGGGCTGCAGACCATGGAGATTGGCGAATTTCCTCTTGTTGCATCGCGAACGTATCATTCCGTTTAACTTCCCGATCGCTTGGTTCGGAATTTACGGGAGGAATTACTATAAGGCTTAGTCCAGGATCTCCGAGTTGAGCTCTTTCTGCTCACTCCCAAGAGAGGACCAGAATCGATCAGCAGGAAGAGGCAAACACGCGGCAAGGACAGTGCGCAATTAGATTATCATCTGAAGCTTACATAGCAGCACGCTCGATCCGATAACGGTGCCACGGGAGCCGCTTAATAGAGGTGGACCCGAGTCGAGGCAAGCCAACGATAACGCTCACCATCAAGCGATATCTTCAACAAACAAGGACAGGGAGTCTGTCGACGAGCTCACGGACTGGAAAGGCCCACGCTGAAGCTCAAATCAGGCCCTGTTGAGCAGAACCAACAGCCGAACTTTGGCTCGAGACAGGATAGCACACCGGCTGAAATACTGGGAGGAAACGCATTCCGACACGTTCTGCGTGATAGCGATGAGTCCGACGCGACGGCGGGAATTAGGATTACACCCACGACAGCGATATACGTTTCGAGATTCGCATTTGAGGACATGGAGCCTGATCTGTGATAAATAAAAAGAATCTCCATAAAACAGGAAGTCCCATTTTTGGAGAGAGAGCGTTATTACTTCGAACGCCGGGAGCGAGACTCTCGGCGAAGGATAAGTGTTCCGCTCAAATCGTATCCGGGGTACAGACTCTCGGACCAGTACGTCTCTCGTTCCCGCCGCATTCTAAGGGAATTCGTAACGCCTTATTGCACACGTTTCTCGACGATTTTTCTAAAATTCCCTCGGAGCCGCTACCGCGAGAGCACTGAACGGAGATCGTGGTCGCCTCCAAAATTTTGCCGGTAATCCGAGACATCGGAAAGACGATATTGGAATTCCGAAGCTCTCACATTAATTGCATGGAATCAATCGAAAGCCGGAGCGATAATGGCAGAAAGTCCTGTCTGATGCGAGCAATTCGATCATTCTCGATGGACCGTTTCCGGATGTGCCCATCGCGTCGTCGCTCTCAAAACTCGATTGTACCCGCGCGAGCACTTGACCGCACCGAGCTTTTCCGAAGACCGACTTCGCGGTGGTTGGAATACGTCGACTCCAGTCCCAACAGCTGGTGGATTTTGGATTCTGATATTCCTGGAGATTCCTCGTTCCTCCTTCGCTTTCCGCTTCGATAGTTTTCGTCATGCCTCCTTCGAAATTCGGAGAGAACGGGAAGCCCCCATGAGCCCTCGGGGGCGTTCCCTCGTCGAGTCGACGAAGTCCGTGTTCAATCATACCGCAAGAGACTTAGCTCTAAGACGGGAGTGGACGTATCGCCTCGAAGGTTATCCCAACAGCGCGGTGGACAGCATCGACACTAGTAAGGCTTGATCCAGAAAGCCCTTGAGCGAGTTGATTGCAGTGAACGAATCGTGTTGTCTCGAGTGGTGAGGGATTCCAAGGCAGCTAGAAGAGGAGAATATCTACCAACCTTGATGTCCGGGTGCTCGGAACACGTCGCGTTTATGAGGTCCAATTTTATTAATACACAAGATTAGCACAAGGAGGGGACCAGGAATGTCGCCGTTTGCTCTGCATGTGTCCGAGAAGGGCACGCCGAACTTCACCCTGCAAGAAAACAGACACGTTAAGCAAAATGGTTCTTCCTGCGCAGCCATAGGTGAGGGCTGGCGTCTCGTGGTACCTTGAAGATAAACTTCAGTTTCGGCATGAAAACTCGTGAATCTGATTCTGATCATTTGAGGACGATCGATGGTGTTAAATTATTTTCTTCTCATGTTCGGACGACCCGGAGCTCCCCCTCGCTTGGAGTCACTGTACTTAGACATTACGCGCCCACCGCTCAAGAGCAATGCGAGTGATTCGTATGCATTGCCACCCCGTTATCTCCAGCCAGCGGGTGATATTGTCGAGCAACAAAGCAGTACCGACATTTTGTCGCAGCAAAATGACTTTCATGCCACTAGGGAAATGTTTTCCCATCGTTTCTATATCGCTGTATCCGAACAAAGCCCTGTGGCAGTGACTGTCGCACCCACTGAAAGCGGCGTCAATTGTTGGATTGCGACAGAGAGGGCGTCGGTCGTTCTTTCTTTCTTCGACCATCCGTATAAAGATATCCAAAACTTTCGTGGGCTATACGCGCTGGGTGGACGCTTGCTCACAGGGCATAATAAGATGGATAAAGCTGTGTCGGAACCGAGCACGTAATCCCGAATAGAAACTGACCGACCACCGCGTGCGACGACCAACGTGGGCGTCTCGACGCCTGGACGAGATTGTCCAAAGGGGAAATTTGCATCGATTACCGGAGTATCACGCAATGGAAGAAAATGGAGCGTTCTTTGAACTTTGGCGTTTTTTTCGGCGTGCTCCCCTGAGATAATATTTTTATGCCACCATGTTACGGGAGATGCTAGCAATAGAAGGCTGGGACGGCCACGACGAGCGTGACGAGAGCATGGATTATTATCCTTAGCTCGGGCTCTCTCTCTCCCTGAAAACGTCGTTGTGGTCAGAATAGAACAGCTCTGAACGTCAATATTTTATAAACATCCGTGAGTGAAGCACGGTGTTTCCGTTCGACATCGGAAGCCTGTCGTGTACATACAACAGAAATCGAGACATGACACGGCATAAGTATAAATATTTTCTCCTGACACCGTATCGGTTCTCTTTCGCTGGAGACGATCGTTGCTAAGCAAAGGTCAAAGTGGAACTCTCGACGCGAACTCGGACGTTGATGGAACTCTCGGCGACTCGAGACCGATTGCGTAGAGAGCACCTGAGCTTTGAAAACTTCGGAACAGAGCGCGCTCAATTATAAAGTGTTCACTGGTTCTAATCAATGGCCGACCTCGTGTTTCCTCAACCGTAGGAAGCGAGGATTTGCGACTCATTGACGGCAAATCAGGCGGTGGACAATTGAAGAGGTTTTGTAACAGCCTCCGTTCTAAACATAGCTCACACATTACGAAATCTCTACCGAGACTCTCGACCCTACGGAGCTCATTTTCAGAGAACGTGTGCGACCGAAAGATCATTAGCGAATCGATCAGTCACTCAGTCAGTCACCACGCAGACTCTTCCGTATGTCTCAATCTCGAAAGATGAAATAATGAAAGGATCGACAGATGATAAATGAAGACCGGGTGGGAACACATCGCTTGATACGTTTCTCCTCTCCTGATTTCCGTCACAGAAGTTATTTTCGAGAATTATAACCAATCGGCTATTCTGAGCGTCTTCATCTTCACTGTTGCGGGGAAACTTCATCATAGAGAATGACCCGTGACCTGGAATCTCTAAGAATTACGGTGCAATGCGATCATCACCGAGATCAGCTGTTTTAGTTGGGTGTGGTCTTCGCCCACTGACTTTTCGCGCACCTGACCCACAGTTCACCAGAGCAAGGCCGTTTTACGAGTGTATACCCGCAGACAAACGCACATCTCCCATCGTCTCCTGAGCCATTAGTTACATCGATAATGAGGCAGAGCACCGCTTTGAGAAATGCCTGCCTTCATCACCGTTGAGGAAACATCCTCGAGCGGTGTGACAAGAGCGGCCACCGAGAGGGCCGATCCTTTGAAGGTGTTCGAGATGATTATCTCGGTGAGATTAATCAACGAACGAGTCAAAATAGGAGGTGTCAGTCCTGTCATCCCGATGACGTTTAGGACGGGTCTGCCAGGTTATAAACTCCATCTGTTTGCGTCGCAGCTCGCGACCTGTTCGATTACACCGCGACGTCAAATCACTGGCTCCTCCGTCGTCGGGGTACCCGCCTTAATTTCCTCGGGAGCTTCAATCGTTCGACTTGACCTGGATATCCAACGCTCCCACCTGGAGCTCCGCGAGTTCACGCGCAGTTATGAATGACTCAGACTATAGCTACTACAACAATTATTCCGAATCAGATGACTTTCGGATCGATCAGTCCTTAAGCCTAGGGACTCAGTGCCGGGGTGGGAAAGGGGGGTCGAAGGTCGTCGATCGTTCCATGCGGACCTGTTGACATGACTCCGGCATTGCAACACTCCCTGAATCGAAACGGCGAATCTTCACAAATGAGAGTCATGCTGTCATGCTCATGACGTAGAGGCGACGCCGAAGCTTTTCTCCATGAATGAATGAATCGATGAAATTGCAAAACGTGGTGACGATATCACATCACGATACATATATTCGATCTCCCCATCGATCTCTTCATGCGGGCATGGATGCGCTGAAAGTTGTGCGGAATCTTCGAGCGCGACTCAGGAGAGGATTGCTCCTGCTGACGTTTCATGCCGCAGAAGAATAATACCGAATCTCAGCGGGCTAAAGGATTCCCTCGCTCATGATGTTGCACTTTGGCCTTCAGGAGCACAAAGGAGGAAAATGGACGAAGATACGACCGAACAAAGTCTGTTGATGTCACGGCAGCAACGGAGTCACTCTAATATAGCATGATGTCACTCAAGACCGATTTTCGTTGCCGTCAGGGCTCTAGGTGGTGTCGCTGCTGCTGCTGCTGCTGTTACTGTCAATTCGTAGCATGTCCCTACCGGTCGTGGGCCCCATCATGTCGCATAGCTCTACTACTGCTGCTGCCACCAACACCGGTACGACTGCAGTCTATTCCTGGATGCTTCCTAAAAGGGCTGTCCTAGAGCGGAAAGTCGGCCCGAACGACCGACGGGTGCTTAGTCAGCTCCAGGCAACGGGCTTGCTCGCTTGCCTGAACGAACCGACGATTGGGGCTCACTTAGTCTCGGGACGCGTTTAGGGTTCAAATATCAATTCTCGGATCGAGGCTAGGCCGGAACCCAGTCTCACTACAGCCAGGGACCGGTGATTTCGTTTCTGACCCGCCTCAACGCCTGCAAATTGGACACCGACGATTCTGGTAAATTCAATCCGAGTGGAATCGCTCGCAGGGGCCCGGATCCTCCCTTGGAAATCGCTCCGAACCGATTGCGGCCGGGAAGCGAACGATTTGAAATTCTTGTATCGAACTCAGCAGAAACAAGTAGACAGAGAAGGCCTTCTTTCTGGATGCTCTCGGAGACTGATTCCGTCAATTTGCCGCGAGCTCCATCGGGGCGAATCGCCGTAATCGCGTCTACGTTTCGATAATGACACGCTGAGCAAGCTGAAGGATTTGGGAATAGGGTTCCCGTCCCCTCTACGATAATCTTCGATCGGCTGAACGCCTTACTTTCTCACCAAGAGTCCCCCCATTGTTGCTTCGCCGTCAGTATCATGGAGCGACTCCTTAGCGACGAGAGACAGCCTCTCCGCCAGCAACGAGTTCCCCGAGCGGAACATGTTGAACCATTCCTTGGTATATGAGCTCCCTAACAACGAGAATTAGTGGATATTCGATACGGCCATCTCAAGAACCACTTCCGCAAAGCAGAGCGAGCCTCTGCCACCAGCGAGCTGCGTCGACCAACCACGATACCACAGTAATTGGTCGTGATGGTGGTTTGTCTCTGCTGCCTCATGTGGTCGGCTGCTGAGATCGTCCGTGACGAGCTCTTTCTTTGATGAACCACTTCCTACAAGGAGAGTTCCCCTCTACAGGTTGGCTCAACGAACGCTCGAAGTGTCCTATTCGGTCACCACAACTGTTGCTACCCATGACTTGGACTTCTGATATTCCAGCTAATTCCAATTACTGACTGCGTACGCGCGGGTATGAATAATCCTTTTGTGATCGCCGCTTTCGAGCTATTTGCGATAATGATCACACGACTCGGAGACGCATTATCTGTCTCCTTACTCTTGCAACGTCTCTCTGACGACAGCGAGATCCGACGTCTGTACGTCCGCCGATTACGTTCCGCTTCTCAGAAGATTCGTCGCAGAATCTGAACCAATTCACTGTTGCTGCAACGTAATAAGCTCGTCTCGGCATACGCGGGAGCCCTATCGAGGAATAGGAGATAAATTTCGTGGAGATTATCCTCTTCGAACGGAAACCACGATACCCTGATAGGCCTATTAGTGGCTCCGTAGAACGAACGTCTCCGGAAGATGCGGCCTTGGAATTCCAGTATTTTTTCTCTTTTTTTCTCGGAGTGTTTACCAACGAAGTGCTACGTCTTTGGGTCTTCGGGACTTCTGTATCCAAGAGCGACAATTAGTCACCGAGGAGGCCCGTGAACGATCGCGAGAACATTTGCATCGAATAAGTCCTCCTGCGAAAAATCTCTCTGAAGTCGCAGGTGCCGCAGAGAAAACAAGTGACGGAATCCTTTTCCAGGGTCGATAGTGCACGAAAACGAAAGTTGCCGAACGTCTTGCTTTCCATTCCGAAGGTCTCAGTCAGTGAACTGAGCGTCTTCCACGATGGCTACGGCACGAATCGAGCGGAGAAAACGAAGAGCAAGAGCGAGAGAATAATGAACCTTCGACACATGGATTTCATCCGCGTCGATACACGTTTTGGTCGTCATAACCAAAACTCGCGGGAGGACGTCGGACGTGTTTCCACTTCGTTCCTTCTGCGTCATAGATTGAGTCGAGATAGTGACCAACAAAAAAGCTGGGCCTCGATCCTCATTTCTTCAAATTTCCGATCGCAGCTCCCGAAAATTACCGGATAGGGGGTTGGGAAT